CTCTAGAGTGCAGCTTGTTTTTGTCCTCCTGAGAACATCTTTCTGTCTTTGTCTTTGTCTTTCCTCTCACCTTTGTCCTATTCTAAGAAGCAGCTCTTTGAGGTCTCCCACAGTGCAGGCGTGTGTTGTGTATTAGTAAACTGAAGAGGAAGTGGAGGAGGGGGGTTCTGGGTGCTGGCTGGGGGCGATGCAAGCAGCTCAGTACATCTATTGTTTCGCTGATTCATGGCCTTTCTCTCTCTGGAAGTTTCCAACCCATGAACTGGAGACAAGTACATTTACGAACCAAGTAGGGTGCGTGTGAAGGGGGGTAGATGAACAGTTAATATGATATTCATTCCCATCCCCCTCAGTAGTCAATACTACATTGATCCAAATGTTTGTTTAATCAAAAACACTTGTGTCACTGTTCTGGTATGAACTTGGCTGGTGTTTCTCCAGGTCTAATTTCAATCATACGAATGTCTAATTAGGTGATCACAAAGTCTGCATCCCAAATGGCATCACATTCCCTATATAGTGCACTACTTTTGACCATAGGGCTCTGGTCAAAAGTATTGCACTATATATAGGGAATAGGGTATCATTTGGGACACATCCTGACTTAGGCCTACAGATAAAATCAGCATGTTGAGACATGTCATAATGTTACAGTGTACAGGTGTACGACTGAGTCCATACATGAGTCATCACCACATCTTTAGCCTTCAGTGGTCTAACCATGCCCGGTAACTCTGTGGTGGAGATGGAAAGATAGAGATGACTGTATGAGATGCAGTTGGATTTTCAAGTTCTTACTGTTCTTGACTACTTATCCTGTCCTTAATGGCTCAGCTAAGCATGTGGAACATTTAGGCCTATAGCAGTCATTTCATCTGAAGTCATCAACCAACCTTGAAGTGGAAGATTTATGAAGGAATATCATCTATACAATAGGCCTATAGCAGTTGGAAGAGGCAACACAGTCACATTTGTCAGTTAGTTTTATGGATCATGTGTTTCCTACAACCTTTGGAAATACCTGGGTTGAGAGAGATCTTGTGGCTTGTAATGTAGGTGCAAATCCAGGGCAGAAAAAGTAAAGGTCACATTGGCAGTGAATCCTTGTGTGACCCTAGAAAATAAATGTGGTCCTACTTAAAGCTAAACACTGCTCCCTGGTGTCTCCTTCTAATACAACAGCATCTTATTCTATATCGAACAAAACAGAGAATGGATCATTGTATCCAATTTGTGTTGGCACATATTCCATTTGAGTTAATATGTACAGTAAAATATATTTATTTTGTTAAATATGAACATTGCATATTGAGGTACCTAACCCTAATTTGGTTCAGGGGCGCTGTACTATTTGGGCTGACCCTGTAAAACAACACATTTCACTGCACCTATCCTGTGTATGTGACACAGGATAGGTGCAGTGGGGTGGGGTGAGGAAGGGGGGGGGGGGGGGGGCCCAACTATGAACATATTCTACAAATGTCTGGAACTCTGTTGGAGGGATGCCACACCATTCTTCCACAAGAAATTCCGTAATTTGGTGTTTTGTTGAAGGTGGTGGAAAAAGCTGTTTCAGGTGCTGCTCCAGCATCTCCATAATTGTTCAATTGGATTGAGATCTGGTGACAGAGACACACACACACACACACACACACACACACACACACACTTTAAACCCCCATATGCTACCCCAATATTCCCCTCTTTCAAAGTCACTGAGATCTCTTCTTCTAGCCATAGTAGCCAAAATAATGGGCAACTGGGCATTTTTATACATGACCCTAAGCATGATGGGATGTTTTAATTGCTTAATTAACTCAGGAACCACACCTGTGTGGAAGCACCTGCTTTCAATATACATTGTATCCCTCATTTACTCAAGTGTTCCCTTTATTTTGTCAGTTGTGCCATGCCATGATGAATGTGTTCCACAGTGTGAGATATGTGGTGAGTATCATTTCACAGTTGGGTTGCATGATTTCATATGCTCTCTCCAGAAACATTGTCACGCGAACTATGAATTCTGGATAATTACATTTGCATGTTTCAATATCATTTTCCATTGACTGGGAGAGACAGAGCGTTATTGAGAGAGATGGAAAAAGAAAGAGAGAGACAAGAGAGAAAGTAAGTGATGGGAGAGAGATATAGAAAGAAAAAAGAAATAGAAAGAGAGAGAGAGATAGAAAGAGAGAAATAGAAAGAGAGAGATAGAAAGAGAGAGATAGAAAGAGAGAGATAGAAAGAGAGACAGAGGGATAAGATAAGAGCAAATAAACATTTTGAGGAAACTTTCATGATGACGTCTTTGTGTGTGGAAATAAGAAGCAGAGGCGACCCGGACCACACACAAAACACTTTCTCTCTCGTGTGGACTTGGCCATACCTCCTGTCTTTAACCTCACATCCGGCAGTGGAAAGTCATCACATTTAGAAACCTAGTCTAGGCTTCAACATGTAACCTCTCCAAGGAGTGGGTGGACGCTAGTCTCTGATCTCTGTCTGCGTGGGACAGCATCCTGGATAAACTCACAGCGTAATCGGAACCCGTGGTTTTAACAGCTAATGCTACAATGGTTAGAAAGATGTAAGGTTATCATTGAAATTGAAAAAATAAAAAACTAACGACTGGAAAAAATGTGTGTTGTGTCTGGGTTGTGATGAGTAATGTTACGCTACACAACCCTTTCCCTGCAAAGATATAAGTAAATCATATCACTGATTTGATGTGTTGTGTGGTACTTCTGTGACGGTTTACAATATAAGCCAATATAACGTCTTCTGTACTTAGCTCTCAGCCACTGGAGGGTCTGTTCCTCGACAGCATAGCTAAAGGGAGGGCCCTTCAATGTATTATTCATCCAAGGTGTGGGGAATACACTGTAAAGACCTCCTACTTTCACTTGATCTCTGGGTTCTCATGGTTCAGTAACTCACAAGACTATACAGATGTAGGATCTTAATTTGAGCCAGTTGGCTACAGCAGGAAAATAATCCCTTAGCACCAGGAAATTTGAATTATTATGTGGATTATAATTAATGGACATTTTTGTAGGGAAATCAAGTCTGACATTTCAGTGAAGAAATTACAAACTTCAGAAGCCTTTTTAAACCTCAAATACACTACAAGTTCTCCTGCAACAGGGTAATCAAATTAAGATCCTATATGACCCTTATTTCACTTTGTTGGTAATGATACACATCTGGTGGTTTCACATCTGCTTATAACATAGCTCTCACCCCCCACAGCGTTGGTATGACACCATTATACTTAATCTAGTTGTGGTCTATTTTCATATAACTTAGTCCTAATTTCTGTAATTGTGGCTTCAACAAATAAATGTAAAGGTGAAATAAAAGCCATATGCAAGTCAAATACTGTGCTTTATTTGTTTGGAGAAAAAAAAATACATTCCAGTGCTTTCTTAATATAATAGATTACATTCATGTTTCCCAGCGGGAACTTCAGTTGTGGTATTCAAAACAACGTAATTTTTTTTTTTAGTTTATTTGGCGCTATAAAGTCGGTCACACAGTAGCTAGGTTTCCATCCAATTTGCAATAGACTTTCATGCGAATATTCTAAAATCTGCATAAAACGATATGCGCATTTTCCAACCAGAGATGTTTCCATCAAACATACTTTTTGTGGATGAAAGACTGTGCTTGAGAACGTAGTGCACATAAAAATAACTTTTGCTATTAAATTCTCATGTAGCCTACCGAATGAAAAATACAAGTTAAATGGGTTTCCATCACATTCCTCTACTTATGGAGTAGGAAATGTGCCCGCTCTGGTCTTGGCACATGCGCTCTAGCCAACAGCTCGCAGATAGAGTGCGGTAGGCTACCTACATTATGAGATTATTGGATAAGAGCGATATTATTTGTATTTGTCAAAAGGCAGCCAAGAATCGATCATCATCACCAGAATAAAACCCTCGATACCTTGCACATTCACCACCCTGTGAAGTTCATCATAATTTATTTTATCTGTAGACTAATAAACTGCATGCTTTCCCGAGTCGTAGTGGGAGGACCACACAATGTATCGTTGCGTGACTCCAAGTTTACTTCGATATGATGGTTATTACATCAATATATGCGCATAAAGGCGCCATTTTCTCGCATAACACAAAAATATATCACCTTGTCTAGCGTATTTTGTTTTGTCTAGATTTGGAACGTTTACCGAAACATTTTCTGTTTCCATCAGGCTTGCCATTAAATGTTTTATCTGACGTACTTTACTAGCATAAAAAAGGTTGAATGGAAACCTGGTTAGTGACATATATTCATTGGTTATCTCTACATCTCATCTTACTACATACTCAAAATGTCCTTCAAAATAGAAATAGAAAATAAATAAGAAGAAAATAATAAGATAATATTGTAATAAGGCATAAATAGGTAAAAAATACTAATATTTTAAATACAAAGCAATATGCAAATATTAAACATTAAAGATATGTTGATACTGTGCATTCTCTCAACAACCCTGTGCACATGACTTGATAAGACAATCCCCTCATTCATAGCTTTAAAAAAAATATAATAATCGATAATCTTGAGGGATAAACAAAACGTTACTTCATCCAAGAGAGCAAAATGCTAAAGTAACAATACAACCCATAACCCATTATGGCCAATAGTTTTAAACATATTTTTCCAACATTACAAGACACATCAGTAGAATTCTGCAGCTCAAAACCAGTTGGAAGGCTAGGTAGAGTATAAAGGAGTGGAATAATCTTATTTGATGAGCAGGGAGTCCGACTGAATCAGTTTCAGTCAAATATATCCATCCCTTGTGACAGTGTCTCCCACATGGTCTTCCCCACTACATCTCTCTGACAGGTGGTGGGATGATGTATTGACCCCAGTTGACCCCAGATCCCCAGGATCTATTCAATCAACCCCTAACAAATGACTTAAATATCTAGCCCCCAGCATGTGTCTATGAAGACGGGAGGGTCTATATCCAATTGAATCTACAGATATCATCTTGACCCTATGATGCCCAGGTATGTGGCGGTGTGGGTGGTGTTGATCCTGGCATGAGGGGAGACGGTGACTGTGAGGATGTCAGAGGCTGCTAGATCCACAACCTTGCCCAGGAACCCTGTGCTGAGGGAGGTGTTGGTTATCCTTCCCTCCAGCAGGACTCCGTTGGTCTTGTTCACTCTCACTATGTACTGTCCAGACACCTCCTGGGGCTTGAGTGTCTCCAGAGTCACCTGAAGGTACAGGAAGTAACAACCATCCTGGCTGATGGTCAGGGATCCGCCATTTAGGGAGGCAACATTCTTCGCCTTGGACTGCGTCTTCCACTTGATCACACTTTTCGCCCCTGAGACCCCATCGACTGTGGATGATAAGTTGAAAACTGGCATTAGTAATGTGGCAAGAGTTGGAATATAAATTAATTGTGACTACATTTAAAAACTCAATGAGACTGAACGTTCAAAGAACTTTCACCGTCAAAGGTGAGCATTTGCCATGGCACTCTTGGTGACTCCAGGAGAATGCTCTGTGGAGACAGACAGAATTCATAATTAGTCACTAATCTTTCTACTCACTGAAGTAATGGTGGGCATCCCAGCAACACGACTCAAATCCTAACAATAGAACAAAGCAGGGTTGTGGTCAATTCCATTTAAATTCCAGTCAATTCAGAAAGTGATTTTTCTCCTTGAAAAGCATTGAAGATAATTGGAACTGGAATTGGAATTTCAGTGTACTTCCTAAATTGACTGGAATTGAAATAGAATTGACCCCAACCCTGGAACAAAGTATGATCTTCAAACTATCCTGTTTATCTGTGACAGGGTACAAACTACAGCTGTTGTCGATGTTTCCCAGGGAACCCTATTTAGGGAAGCACAGGCAGGAAGGTATAAAAGCACCCCTCAGTAGCTGCAGAGACGGAAAAGGAAGTGAAACACCCAACTTGCTGGGGTTGTGCATGGAGCAATGAAAGTCAATGAACTAAGTAGACCAGACCAGACCAGACCAGATACCATTGCATTGGTGTCTATGGGAGACTGAAACTGACAAAAAATGATTCAATGGTAAATGGCCTGAGTGGAGGAAATGGCGACTGTGCTTGAATCTGAAAGTGCAGCAAGTGAAGTGTGTGATAATGAATGGAAAATAGTGAAATCAAAGAATGGAACAAAATTAGCAAAAGTTGTAGCAGAAGACAAGGATTGGTCCCATAATGCATTTCTTATTAGACTGTGTTTTTTGGACAAGGAGATTCATTTGGGAAATCCATTTGTATATCGAGGACTGTGAAGAAAGCAGTGGGAAAGGTGGATTCAATCAAGGTGACTAGAAGCGGCCTTGTTTTGGTTAATTGTGTTGATGAAGAACAGAAGAAGCGTGCCACGTCTGAAGTAACATGTATTGATCTTCGGTGCAGGGCGCCTGACAAAGGAGTTATAGCTGGAGTCTCGTTGGATATACAGTACCAGTCAAAAGTTTGGACACACCTACTCATTCAAGGGTTTTTCTTTATTTTACTATTTTCTACATTGTAGAATAATAGTGAAGATATCAAAACTATGAAATAACACATATGGAATCATGTAGTAACCAAAAAAGTGTTAAACAAATCAAAATATATTTTATATTTGAGATTCTTCAAAGTAGCCACCCTTTGCCTTGATGACAGCTTTGCACACTCTTGACATTCTCTCAACCAGCTCCATGAGGTAGTCACCTGGAATGCATTTCAATTAACAGGTGTGCCCTGTTAAAAGTTAATTTGTGGAATTTCTTTCCTTCTTAATGTGTTTGAGCCAATCAGTTGTGTTGTGACAAGGTAGGGTTGGTATATAGAATATAGCCCTATTTGGTAAAAGTCCATATTATGGCAAGAACAGCTCAAATAAGCAAAGAGAAGCGACAGTCCATCATTACTTTAAGACATGAAGGTCAGTCAATACAGAACATTTCAAGAACTTTGAAAGTTTCTTCAAGTGCAGTTGCAAAAACCATCAAACGCTATGATGAACCTGGCTCTCATGAGGACTGCCACAGGAAAGGAAGACCCAGAGTTACCTCTGCTGCAGAGGATAAGTTCATTAGAGTTACCAGCCTCTGAAATTGCAGCCCAAATAAATGCTTCACAGAGTTCAAGTAACAGACACATCTCAACATCAACTGTTCAGAGGAGACTGTGTGAATCAGGCCTTCATGGTCGATTGCTGCAAAGAAACCACTACTAAAGGACAACAATAGGAATAAGAGACTTGCTTGGGCCAAGAAACACGAGCGATTGACATTAGACTGGTGGAAATATGTCCTTTGGTCTGATGAGTTCAAATGTGAGATTTTTGATTCCAACCGCTGTGTCTTTGTGAGTCGCAGAGTAGGTGAACGGATATTCTCTGCACGTGTGGTTCCCACCGTGAAGCATGAAGGAGGAGGTGTGATGGTGTGGGGGTGCTTTGCTGGTGACACTGTCTGTGATTTATTTAGAATTCAAGGCATACTTAACCAGCATGGCTACCACAGCATTCTGCAGCGATATGCCATCCCATCTGGTTTGCGCGTAGTGGGACTATCATTTGTTTTTTTCAATAGGACAATGATCCAACACACCTCCAGGCTGTGTTAGGGCTATTTGACCAAGAAGGAGAGTGATGGAGTGTTGCATCAGATGACCTGGCCTCCACAATCACCCGACCTCAACCCAATTGAGATGGTTTGGGATGAGATGGACCGCAGAGTGAAGGAAAAGCAGCCAAGAAGTGCTCAGCATATGTGGGAACTCCTTCAAGACTGTTGGAAAAGCATTCCAGGTGAAGCTGGTTGAGAGAATGCCAAGAGTGTGCAAAGCTGTCATCAAGGCAAAGGTGGCTACTTTGAAGAATCTAAAATCTAAAATATATTTGTGGAAAATAGTAAAAAATAAAGAAAAACCCTTGAATGAGTAGGTGTGTCCAAACTTTTGACTGGTACTGGATATGACGAGTACCTTAGTCAGAAAATCCCAGGAGTGGTCAGTGCACGTCGCCTGACCCGTAGGGTAAATGGAAGGAAGGAGAAAAGCCTATCGAAATGATTGTTGTTTGAGGAAACTCTACTTGAATATGTGAAGCTTGGATACAGTATGTGAGGTATGTGATGAGAGCATTTGTGTCCAAAGCATTAGTGTGGGAATTGTAAAGGATATGGTCACGTGTCAAATGTTTGCAGACGGGAGAAGTATATTATTGAAGAATCTGTCAATGGAAAATGTAACTGTGGTGGGGATCATTCTCCCGACTTCCTTGAGTGCCCTGTTATAATAATATGCCATTTAGCAGACGCTTTTATCCAAAGCGACTTACAGTCATGTGTGCATACATTTTTACGTATGGGTGGTCCCGGGGATCGAACCCACTACCCTGGCGTTACAAGCGCCATGCTCTACTAATTGAGCTACAGAGGACCACAAGGTTAGGGTGAAGGAGGTCGAGGTGTCAAGGATCAGGGCTGTGCAGCAGATCTCTTATGTGGAGGCGGTGAAGAAAGTCGAAGGAGAAAGAAGCAACAGTGTTGAAGATATGGCGGTGTATGCATTGCAACCAGTTGCTAGTGTTTTAAGTCAATTGAGTTGAGATCTGGATCCACTCATTGTGAAGAAAGTGGATTTTGTGGCATTTATATCCACAGTGATTAATTGTACAGCACAAGTGTCTAAGAAGTCCAAGAAGCTGGACATCATTATATCTGCAGGCGAAGTTGTTGGGCTCCAAGACTTCACGGCAGAAGCACTGCAATGACTATTGTCGCTAGGAAATTTGCATCAAACGATTGGATTTACAGTGAGGGAAAAAAGTATTTGATCCCCTGCTGATTTTGTACGTTTGCCCACTGACAAAGAAATGATCAGTCTATAATTTTAATGGTAGGTTTATTTGAACAGTGAGAGACAGAATAACAACAAAAAAATCCAGAAAAACGCTTGTCAAAAATGTTATTAATTGATTTGCATTTTAATGAGGGAAATAAGTATTTGACCCCCTCTCAATCAGAAAGATTTCTGGCTCCCAGGTGTCTTTTATACAGGTAACAAGCTGAGATTAGGAGCACACTCTTAAAGGGAGTGCTCCTAATCTCAGTTTGTTATCTGTATAAAATAACACCTGTCCACAGAAGCAATCAATCAATCAGATTCCAAACTCTCCACCATGGCCAAGACCAAAGTGCTCTCCAATGATGTCAAGGACAAGATTGCAGACCTACACAAGGCTGGAATGGGCTACAAGACCATCGCCAAGCAGCTTGGTGAGAAGGTGACAACAGTTGGTGCGATTATTCGCAAATGGAAGAAACACAAAAGTCCTGTCATTCTCCCTCAGCCTGGGGCTCCATGCAAGTTCTAACCTTGTGGAGTTGCAATGATCAAGAGAACAGTGAGGAATCAGCCCAGAACTACACGGGAGGATCTTGTCAATGATCTCAAGGCAGCTGGGACCATAGTCACCAAGAAAACAATTGGTAACACACTACGCTGTGAAGGACTGAAATCCTGCAGCGCCCGCAAGGTCACCCTGCTCAAGAAAGCACATATACAGGCCCGTCTGAAGTTTGCCAATGAACATCTGAATGATTCAGAGGAGAACTGGGTGAAAGTTTTGTGGTCAGATGAGACCAAAATCGAGCTCTTTGGCATCAACTCAACTCGCCGTGTTTGGAGGAGGAGGAATGCTGCCTATGACCCCAAGAACACCATCCCCACCGTCAAACATGGAGGTGGAAACATTATGCTTTGGTGGTGTTTTTCTGCTAAGGGGACAGGACAACTTCACCGCATCAAAGGGATGATGGACGGGGCCATGTACCGTCAAATCTTGGGTGAGAACCTCCTTCCCTCAGCCAGGGCATTGAAAATGGGTCGTGGATGGGTATTCCAGCATGACAATGACCCAAAACACACGGCCAAGTCAACAAAGGAGTGGCTCAAGAAGAAGTATATTAAGGTCCTGGAGTGGCCTAGCCAGTCTCCAGACCTTAATCCCATAGAACATCTGTGGAGGGAGCTGAAGGTTCGAGTTGCCAAACGTCAGCCTCGAAACCTTAATGACTTGGAGAAGATCTGCAAAAAGGAGTGGGACAAAATCCCTCCTGAGATGTGTGCAAACCTGGTGGCCAACTACAAGAAACGTCTGACCTCTGTGATTGCCAACAAGGGTTTTGCCACCAAGTATTAGTCATGTTTTTCAGAGGGGTCAAATACGTATTTCCCTCATTAAAATGCAAAATCAATTTATAAAATGTTTGACATGCTTTTTTCTGGATTTTGTTGTTGTTATTCTGTCTCTCACTGTTCAAATAAACCTACCATTAAAATTATAGACTGATCATGTCTTTGTCAGTGGGCAAACGTACAAAATCAGCAGGGGATCAAATACTTTTTTTCCCTCACTGTAATACTTTCTTGGGCACTGCTCAGTGACGCAAACAACAAAGTTTCCATCAGAAATGATTACGGACACCATCCAACACCGGACACATGCTGCTAAAACATGTACAGCAACGGGTTGGGTGATTTAATTAATATAGGTGTCTAAATTTGGGCTAGATGTTGCATGACTACCACATTTAGGAATGAATTTGAACTAGTTGCCGCAATTAACACTTACTAATGGGGTATGCCACACGTTCATGATCGTAAAACAGAGATTGAAATTTCAGAGAAGAAAAATCATGAAAAAAGAGAAAGTCGAGAAGACAAGTGGCACAGTGGCATTTCCCTGCATGAGGCTATGATGTTATGACATGTCACCCTTCCCTGCAGTGCGGTGAGGCTGGTGGTTGAGTCCTGTACTGTCTGAGAGCCTGGAGGATGATGAGTCAGACAGAGAAAGCAGGACTGACGAGGTATGACTTAGCCTAGGCTCAGGTCCCTTCCAAGATGCATTCAAGTGTTAGGATTCTATTCAAAATGATCTAATGCAGGGTTTGCCAACTCGGTCCTGGGGCCTCCCAGGGGTGCATGTTTTTGGTTTTTGCCCTAGCACTACAGCACTACAGCACTACAGCACTACAGTAATGTAGTGCTACGGCAAAAGCCAAATGTGCACCCCTGGGAGGCCCCAGGACCGAGTTTGGGAAACCCTGATCTATTGTATATCCTGTCATCATTGGCAGGCCAAGAATATCATGATTATGTTATGACTACTCTCTGTCTTGGAGGAGGCAAAAATGAACAAAATGTTTGCATGGGACATGTTACGACATGTTACGACTTGTTAAAACTTGTTTTGAGGTTGGAAACATGTTTAAACCCATCTTGTGGTTAGCTTACCGGAGATGAGTCTGCTGTGGGTTTTGGAGCTGAAACTATTTCTGACAGAGGCTGGGGGAGGGAGAGATGACAATCGTCATGATATTTCCAATCAGTAACTATGTTGTAAGTAACAACATTTTGTCTGAGCAAAACATTTGTATTCAGTGCTACTCTAGGCTATATGAAACAGTGTTAATGAGATACACACAGTGATAATTCAGTAGCACACACCCAGCCCTTTCATATTGGAGAACAGGGTTCTGATGTCACCAGTACTAAACCACACATAGTGATGCGTTTCCCCCACCAGCTGTGATGCTACTGAAACCACTTCAGAGACTTGTACTCAACAGGTGCAACAGGCAGGTGTTACCACAGCTACAATACACCGCTCTATTTACACACATTGATCCAACTTCATGATCTCATCTTATATTTACACAGTGAGCTACAGTACATATCTCAGATTTAATTCAACTTGATTTCACTAACTATGTCCCTCCCTAAGTCGTGATGGTCAGGGGCTCTTTGTCAATAAAAAATCTAGTATAACTGCACATGACAAACTTCTCACTGTCAACTCTCAGCTAATTTACAACTGTCAATAAATGCATAGGTGATAACCTCACTGACTAGCAACAGCATTAAATAGTTAACACCAGAGAGTGAGTATGTGTAAGTGTGTGTGTGTGTGTCTATGCAGGTTAGCAGTCTTACTGGTACGTGTGGCCTGGTGATGATGAGCAGGGAGATGGAGACCACGTGGCTGACGGTGAGGAGACAGACCCAGAGAAGGAGTCCACTGACCAGGCGCCGCTGGCTCCCCTGGGCCCCGGGGCCATGATGGTGGCAGTTCTCTGAAACCTCACAGCGGTCCATCGACTGCTGCGACATCATCAGTCTGCAACGTCCGGCCGTGGGGGAGAGAGAGGCTCGGGGCAGAGCAACCTCAGTCCCCTGAGATGCAGCAGAGGGAATGCAGGAAGACCGAGAGATGGAGCCGCTGTGTGTTTGTCCTCTTGGCTTCCTCTGCTGTGAAACCTGAGAACACTGCTGTGTGTGTGTTGCGTCTGTTTCCGAGGACGTCTTTATGTCTGTGTTTGGCTCTGTGTTCCTCTGCAGCTGTCCAGGACAGGAGGCAGGTCGGGCTGGTACTTTCCCCCTGAGTGACTGAAGGAAAACAAAGAGACTAGATAACTCTTCACGTAGGGGAATGGCCCTCCTACTATTCACACTACTCTCATAGAGAAAGAGGAACACCACTCACAACCAATGAGAAAGTGAGGGCGTGATAAACATTGACCTTTTAATCAAATGAAAATGAGTCATTCACATCCTTCCCCTACATAGTTTTTACAATATGATTTGTCAGCTACTACTATAAACCAAATCGAACCAATAGATTTTGATAGTGTTATGGCACTGTTCAATGTTTACAAGTCCATTCACTTTTCTGACGTGTCAGTGCGCATTTCACATTATTTTTCTTTCTGCTCAAAAGTACTGTAGTAAAATACAGGTCAAGTCAACATATTCAAAACCCCACTCATCAACACATTAATAAGATGACAGGTTTCAGATGTTTGCATCTCTAAAATCTCCCAGTCTCAGTTGCCTGCCAGGCTGTGCTGTGCACCTCTTATGGTTTCACTTTGGTTACTTGTGGCCGACCTGGGGAAAGTTTCAGGACAACACAACAGGGTTAAGGTGTCAATCTTGGTCTTTGTCATCACTAACCAGGTCAGTGTACTCCAAGGCCAAAGCAACACCTACACAGATGATGACTAGATGGACATTATGGAACAAAAACACTTCCCTAAGTGGGAGTTGGATACTACTATCAGTTTCTAATGTTGTTTAGGTCGAAATGGAAATAACTGACCTTTCCTTTCTTGTGGCTGGAATGCGGGTAAAATAACCATGTTTATCTGATGTCATGGGTCAAGTGCAAAGTACAGATGATCACATGTAGGAATTAGTAACAGTGCCACCCTCGGGCACTCCAGGTAAGTACATGTAAATGATTGACATCTCCCTTTCGTTAGACAATTTTTTCTCAAAACAATGTTTTCAACAATATGCAAACAATAAACTTTGCTTTTTTTTCTTAATAACATAACATAGACATCTCAATTGTCATCACATTGTTATTATCAATGTCTTGTCAATGTTTAATTTGTTTCTTCTATTTTATTTTTTATTTATTTTTCTCAACAGTCTCTGTTTAAACTATAAACACTGACAGATTTCTTATGATATTTTTGGGGGTCTTTTCAGTATAGTCTTTTCAGTACTGGTAGCATTTTGGCATTCTGATATGTCTTCCATAACGAGTTGAATTCACATTACATTGTTGCTTTCCACTGTTTGTTTTGGTGTTGTTGGTGCTGGAGAACACACAGGTGAGTAGTTTTCTTCCAGGCTGATACTTGTTTCAGGTTCTCTTTCCACTGGATAAGGTAAGTCCATTATGGTTTCTGAGTGTGTTGCTTCAAGTGTTTTTAACAGGTGTCTCCGGTTCCTTCTGTAGATTATCTCATTTTGTGTTTGTACTATGTATGACCTTGGCTGGTCATGTTTTCCAAGTAAAATTGATGGTTTCCATTTGTTCTCTTGTCTGATCCTGACTCGTTCTCCTTCCTTCATGACCGAAAGTGCCTTGGTCAAAGTAGTGTTTGCTTGTGATCCTGCTCCTGATCTGCTGATAGAGTCCTGGCTTTAACAATCTCTTTGACTTCGGATCTTTGTCTTCAGCCTCCTTCCCATTAGTAGTTGTGCAGCCTTATTTTCCTAATCAATCTACACACAATACCCCATAATGACAAAGCAAAAACATGTTTTTATACATTAAAAAAAACAAAAAAAAAACAACAACAAATATATCACATTTACATAAGTATTCAGACCATTTACTCAGTACTTTGTTGTAGCACCTTTGGCAGTGATTACAGCCTTGAGTCTTCTTGGGTATGACGTGTCAAGCTTGGCACACCTGTATTTGGGGAGTTTCTCCCATTCTTCTCTGCAGATCCTCTCAAGCTCTGTCAGGTTGGATGGGGAGCGTCGCAGCACAGTTATTTTCAGGTCTCTCCAGAGATGTTCGATCTGGTTCAAGTCCGGGCTCTGGCTGGTCCACTCAAGGACATTCAGAGACTTGTCCCGAAGCCACTCCTGCGTTGTCTTGGCTGTGTGCTTAGGGTCTTTGTCCTTCAGGAAGGTGAACCTTCGCCCCAGTCTGAGGTCCTGAGCGCTCTGGGCAGGTTTTCATCAAGGATCTCTCTGTACTTTGCTCTGTTCATCTTTCCCTCAACCTTGACTAGTCTCCCAGTCCCTGCAGCTGAAAAACATTCCCACAGCATGATGCTGTCATCACCATGCGTCACCGTAGGGATGGTGCCAGGTTTCCTTCAGAGTTGATGCTTGGCATTCAGGCCAAAGAGTTCAATCTTGGTTTCATCAGACCAGAGAATCTTGTTTCTCATGGTCTGAGTCCTTTAGGTGCCTGTTGGCAAACTCCAATTGGGCTGTCATGTACCTTTTACTGAGGAGTGGCTTCCGTCTGGCCACTCTACCATAAAGGCCTGATTGGTGGAGTGCAGCAGTGATGGTTGTCCTTCTGGAAGGTTCTCCCATCTCCACAGAGGAACTCTGTAGCTCATTCAGAGTGACCATCGGGTTCTTTGTCACCTCCGTTACCAAGGCCCTTCTCCCCCGATTTCTCAGTTTGGCCGGGCGGCCAGCTCTAGGAAGAGTCTTGGAAGAATGATGGAGGCCTCTGTGTTCTTGGGGACCTTCAATGCTGCGGAAATATTTTGGTACCCTTCCCCAGACCTGTGCCTCAACACAATCTTGTCTTGGAGCTCTACGGACAATTCCTTCGACCTCATGGCTTGGTTTTTGCTCTGACATGCACTGTCAACTGTGGGACCTTTATATAGACAGATGTGTGCCTTTCCAAATCATGTCCAATCAATTGAATTTACCATAGGTGGACTCCAAAACAGCTGTAGAAACATCTCAAGGATGATCAATGGAAACAGGATGCACCTGAGCTCAATTTCGAGTCTCATAACAAAGGGTCTGAATACTTATGTAAATAAGGTATTTCTGTTTTAGTTTTTTTATACATTTGGAATAATTTGTAAAAACCTGTTTTCAATTTGTCATTATGGGGTATTGTCTGTAGATTAATGAGGAAAACAATCAATTTAATCCATTTCAGAATAAGGCTGTAACATAACAAAATGTGGAAAAAGTCACAAGATGTCTGAATACTTTCCGAATGCATTGTATGTGCTTTTTCCAACAGGTTTGTTCAGTCTGAACTGCTGTCTCAGCTTGGCCATTTGACTGTGGAGATCTAGGGCTCAACGTGACATGTTTGAACTCTCAGCTGGTAGAAAACTCAGACATTTCTTGACTCACCAGCTGTCTTCCATTGTCGGATACAAAACGTTGAGCACCCCATGCCTTGTGAAGATCGGCTTTAGTGCTGTAATGATGTGTTTACTTGTTGTCCCACTGAGCTTATACAGTTGAAGTCGGAAGTTTACATACACTTAGGTTGGAGTCATTAAAACTCGTTTTTCAACAACTCCACAAATTTTTTGTTAACAAACTATAGTTTTGGCAAATCGGTTAGAACATCTACTTTGTGCATGACACAAGTAATTTTTCCAACAATTGTTTACAGACAGATTATTTCACTTATAATTCACTTTATCACAATTCCAGTGGGTCAGAAGTTTACATACACTAAGTTGACTGTGCCTTTAAACAGCTTGGAAAATTCCAGAAAATTATGTCATGGCTTTAGAAGCTTCTGATAGGCTAATTGACATCATTTGAGTAAATTGGAGGTGTACCTGTGGTTGTATTTCAAGGCCTACCTTCAAACTCAGTGCCTCTTTGCTTGACATCATGGGAAAATCTAAAGAAATCAGCCAAGACCTCAGAAAAAAATGTGTTAACCTCCACAAGTCTGGTTCATCCTTGGGAGCAATTTCCAAACGCCTGAAGGTACCACGTTCATTTGTACAAACAATAGTACGCAAGTATAAACACCATGGGACCACGCAGCCATCATACCGCTCAGGAAGGAGACGCGTTCTGTCTCCTAGAGATGAACGTACTTTGGTGCGAAAAGTGCAAATCAATCCCAGAACAACAGCAAAGGATCTTGTGAAGATGCTGGAGGAAACCGGTACAAAAGTATCTATATCCACAGTCAAATGAGTCCTATATCGACATAACCTGAAAGGCCGCTCAGCAAGGAAGAAGCCACTGCTCCAAAACTGCCATAAAAAAGCCAGACTACGGTTTGCAACTGCACATGGGGTTAAAGATCATACTTTTTGGAGAAATGTCCTCTGGTCTGATGAAACAAAAATAGAACTGTTTGGCCATAATGACCACCGTTATGTTTGGAGGAAAAAGGGGGTCGCTTGCAAGCCGAAGAACACCATCCCAACCGTGAAGCACGGAGGTGGCAGCATCATGCTGTGGTGGTGCTTTGCTGCGGGAGGGACTGGTGCACTTCACAAAATAGATGGCATCATGAGGAAGGAAAATTATGTGGATATATTGAAGTAACATCTCAAGAAATCAGTCAGGAAGTTAAAGCTTGGTCGCAAATGGGTCTTCCAAATGGACAATGACCGCAAGTATACTTCCAAAATTGTGGCAAAATGGCTTAAGGACAACAAAGTCAAGGTATTGGAGTGGCCATCACAAAGCCCTGACCTCAATCCTATAGAAAATATGTGGGCAGAACTGAAAAAGTGTGTGCGAGCAAGGAGGCTTACAAATCTGACTCAGTTACACCAGCTCTGTCAGGAGGAATGGGCCAAAATTCACCCAACTTATTGTGGGAATCTTGTGGAAGGCTACCCAAAACG